AAAACTGGAAGAAAGAACTGGGAGAAGCTGGCCTGTGTCACTTGCCCCAAGCCCTGCTAGCTCATGCTGTGGTGGGACCTTTCCTCTAGAAGGTTCCTCTTCTAGAGATTGTGATTCAAGTGGTGTTCAGAATCCATCATTTTAAACAAGCTCCCCAAATAATTCTGATGCAGTTAATTCGTTAATTCACTGGATCTTCTGTGTAATCAACACATATTCTTTGTATGTGTAGGGTATACAGTAGTACACAAAACCAGAAATATAGCCCCTGCGTTAGTGATACTTCTGATCTAGAAAGAAAGGGGATGGCATAAACAAAATAAAGTTGTAAATTGTGCTAAATGTTGTTCTATGTTCTAGACTGGCCAAATCTGACCTAATGCATGGCCAAATAGGAAAAAGAAAAGAAAAAAATTTCTCCTTGTGAGAAGGTTGTAGTCTTCCTTTTGGTCTCTTTCTTCTTTTTCTTTCCTTTTTATCTTTCTTCCTCAGCCCACTCCTCTCTTTTATATCTGCCTGGCCCATTTCTGTGGGCCTATTAAAATGAAAATATCAACTGCTACAACCTGCTACTACACACCTTCCTAAGCAACACTTTTATGAGGCTAAATGATGCTATAGCAAAGTGGTGGACACTTAAATTCTAGTCTACATTCTACCTTTACCTAGAAGGTAACCTGAGTAAGTCATTTCTGGATGCCTACTCCTTAGGTCTTTACTGGTTTATTGGATGGCTTCTGAGGGTTCCTGCCTCAGCCCCACACTTGAAGGAATTCCAAACCTCCACATTTGTGCTTGAATGTAATCTGAAAAACAAACAGGCAGAGTTGTCCCATCATCTGCCACTGATTTTTTCATCTTCCTCACTTCTGCCGAGGAAGTATCTAATGGTTGACTGGATCCATTGAAATGTTCCTCATAGACTGTGACAGGCATCTGTCTGCTTTCTCTGCCTGGCACTTGGTCTCCTGCAGAGATTCATTAGTTTTCATGGTGAACCCAAGAAATGAGCCTCAGTTTCTCTCACAACCTGCACATCCTGCTGCCACAGGGCTGCCGTAGCATCTCTTTCATACTACGGAACCAAGAGACAACACATTTCATAGTTGACAGAGCTCTAAGAGCCCTTCTAATCAAGTCTTTTTTATGCTTAGCTCCAGAATCTCTGTCATTTGGATGACTCATATTAAAATACTACTTGAAATGCAGGTCAAGTTCTTTAGATGGATGAAAAAGAGTTGAAAGGAGCTGTAACAATCTCCTAGCCTCACTTCCTTACTTAGGAACAGAACGCAAAATAGGGCATGGTCAGAGAGATCTGAATTCAGATATCACCATTTATCTGCTCTAAAACCTTGGTCAAATTACTTAATCATTGTGTCTGTTTATATTCAACACCATAAAGACACAGGTTACATCTACCATTTAGAATTTCAATGATAACTAAGCAAAATAATATATGCAAACCATTTAACACAATACCTGGCATAGAGTGGGAACTCAACACATGGACCTTTTGCTACAATTGATTCCTACCCAATTGTCTTTATCTCTTTTCCCACCCTCTTAAAAACAGACTTATTTTACATCAAATGCACGAACTTACTATTTTATTTGCTATTCTCATTTTCTTTCCTTTTTGTTCTTGATTCTGACTTTTAAAAATTATGCCTTGCATGACTTTTTTAATAACTCTCTGTATTTAATGTATACATGCAAATCTCCTTTATTAACTTGTATATAGGCATGCTCCTATATACAAGTTTATAGGGATAAAGGGATCTATGTATAAATGTCAATTCAATATAAAGCAATTTCTCCATTTTACTGTCTTTAAAAAAAAAAATTAAGAGGACCATTTTCCCTACCTATCCACCTTACCACTGTCAAAAGCAAAAAGGAAACACAGAAATGTTCTCCACTGAAATAAGTATAGCCTGAAGAGGCTTTTTCAAACAAGTGACATGTTCTTGCTAGCAGAAACAAGATTAAATTGGCAGGTTGGAGTGTGAGGACAGGTGCGGTTCCTGTGGCTGGAGCTGGTTGGGGACAGGAAAGATTGTGCCAAGCAGGCAGAGGGCAGCTTAAAGTCTGAAAGGGAGAGAGCTGCCTGGATGGTCACAGGAACCAAAAGAGACGCATTAGAGAGGTGGCTTATGAAACTCACTACTGCATTTGGCTTGTGAAATGAGAGCTACCAGTGATATCTAATAAAATATACACTTACATTTAAATTTGTTAGTGTAAAAGAGAGCAGCATTTGCCAAATGAATTTTATTTTTATGTATATTTGTTCAGTTAGTTAACTTCTGCTACACAGATAAAATGTCAGGTTTTTACCTCTCTTCTCCTAAGACATCAGATGGTATGATAGTTCTGCCTCCAGCATAGGAATCCTGAGGTCCCTAAACAAGGAATTTCCCCTGAGGGGTATCCACTCACAGCAGGCTCTCAGAACATTGCTCAGGGGAGAGTAGTTAGGTAATTGTTTCCCCAGGGCCAGGAAAGGAAGTGCTAAGCATTCTATGCATATAGCTATTTTGCAAAGCACCTGATCATTTACCTGGTGCTGCCTCTCCAGTAGAAAAGAATAGTGGCTGCATAGAAAACTCACCCTGGGTTCATTTCAGGGCCTAGTAAAGCTGAGTCAAAGGCTAGTGTCAAGAATCTCTAAAGCACGAGCTGAAAGTTATCAAGAGCTATTGCCACACACGGCAATTACTGTACTTTCAGTACAGGCCAGCAATTTTGAGAAAGACCTTTAGAAATCTTCCTACAAGAGAGATTTTCCTCTACTCAAAGTTTCCCATCAGTCAGGAGTATCCTCTGCTTCCAGAAAACGCCCCAAGTCAATGTACCTAAGACAGCCTGATAGTGATGGTCCAGTTTCAGCAAGCTGCACCTCATGCTGGAGAATGCCTTGCCAGCTAGGTATGCTAGGGTGGCCACAGACACCATTGAGGGAAATCCAAAATCTCTTTATTGCTGAGGGGACTCTGTCATCCCTGGGTCAGAAGGAAAAAAATGACCACTAGGCCCGATGCACCAGAGTGAAAGAAAATATACCACATTGTGACAATTAATTTAGAGCCTATGATACCAAACCATGATATTGCTAGAATAAAAGCTGGGCCTGCATTTTTGCAGGAGGCTAGAAAACAGTGGAAACAATCAGAAAGCCAGTAGTGACAGTGATAAAAGCACAGATTGCTAGTGTGACTTAAGGCAGGTACACACTTGCCTATTCTACCCATTCAACTAACTTGTAAATAAAATGGAAACAACACTAGCACTTACCTTACTGTAGTGCTGGGAAGAGTAAATGAGTTCACATGGAAAGTGCTTTAGGTCAGCCCAAGAAGGCAAGGGTCTTAAATATCCCAAGAAGAAGAAGCACAAACTAAAGCCTACCTCACCACATCAGAAAGAGTTAGTGATTTCAGTATACAATTGTATCAAAATTAAAAAAAAAAAAAAAAAAAAGGTCACTTTGTTTTCTATTTGTTTAATAAAAAATATTTTAAGATGTTTTAGGAAAAAATATTAAATATTTTTTAAAATATGACTACTCGAAGGGAGCTTGTAATACCTCTCCCATCCCCCCAAAATTAGATATGCTAAAAGATTGCCTTATTTTCAGAAGATACTTACTAAGAATTTGCCAAGCATGTAAAAACATTTTCTAAGTCTGAATTCTACTCAGTCTACTTAAGAAGACTAGTGGAACCAGATATAGTGGCACTCACATGTAATCCCAGCTATCAGGAAGCTGAGGCAGGTGTGTCTCAAGCTTTATGGTACCTCCCCTCACCTTGGGTTGGTTTTTGCAGCCAGTGCTGAGCTTTCTATTTGTATTTTCACTCATGTATCTATACTGAATGATTCTTGCTGATATTCTTCACATTCCTGGCTCAATAACATCAACTCTAAACATCTCATGTCCGAGTTCAGCGGTGCATGTGATAAAACACAGCAAGGTGAGCCTTAATATGCTGTCATCACAAATAGATGTTCCTACACACCTTCCCTTCCATCTTCCATCTGCTTGGAGCTTTCTTCCCTGTGTCCCTGTCTCCACCTTTTTTCTCTGGTTCCTCATAAGCTCAAGTTTCTGAAATCCCACATTATTCTAGGTCCATTTGTGCTCTTTGCTCCACATCTTTGTACCCTTCTGCTTGAAAACTTTTGTTTTCCTCTTTTTTGTCCATTTTTCTCAGCATCAACTCTGTAATATTTTTCTTGTGCCAGTTTCTATAATAATCAATAAAGGTTATGTGTATGAAAAAAAAATCTATATGAAACTTCATTCTCCTTAAATAGCAATTATGTTAGAGAAGTTCCACCAAGTTTAGATGTATATACATTTGAGGTTACTAAAATGAACTATTAGATATAATTTTGCACACCTGCAACTATTGGAACAAAAGGATATGCATAATATTATATTACTTTTTGCCTTTTGGAGATTTTTTAAAAGGAGGCAATAAAGAAAGAAATGTAAATTTTGAGAGAGAGAAAAAAAAAACAAGAGAAAGGCAAAAAAAAAAAAAAGCTTAGAATTGACACAATTTATTTAAATGCATTTAAAGAAACTGAGCTATGATCTATATTTCTACTGATGTTGATTATGTTCAATAATCCATTTTCATGAGGGTTATGGAAAAAATTTTCATTGAACTGAGTAGCATTAATTTTATAATTTCTTAAACATTAGAGTTTGACATAGATTTGTGCTTTCCCTGATTTTCTATTTTATTTACATTTGTTTTAACTTTTCAACAAAATTAACATATGATTGCACAAATACCATATCTCAAATATCTCAAAAGTATGTAACCTGGGTAGTAAAAATCTTAAGTCCATCCACTGAGCATTTACAAGTGTGCAAGATGATCACTGCAAACTGCTATTGTATATTCTTCCAAATTTTTTTCTTGTACACGTACTACCATATTTTAGTAATCAGTACATTTTTCAGTGGGAAGGATTGCACCACTTACCAAAATAAGCCCTGATATTAGTGAAGAAGTACCAGTCAGGGCCACGTAGAACTTCGGTGTTAATGTGTTCAAAAACATGCTCACTGAAAGAAAAAAAGAGAGAGAGAGAGAGATGAGAGAAGGAATATGTGAATATGTAAGTAAAACAAATCTCTTCTTTTTTCTTTCTGGTGAAATCACTTGTTTCTAACTACAAGAATTCTTAGAACTATACCAAAATCCCATTAAAATGGCAAACCATTACATAGGTCAGAAAACCCGGTGTTAAATTATACTTATGGCTGGAAAAAAGCTTTATGTAAGAAAAAAGAGCAACTTTTTAATTTCTATCTCCCTAAACTATTGTGGATGCTTTCCATGGATTCACAACTCCTAAAGGGTTTAATCAAAGTTGGTTACTGAAACTGTCAGTCAAAAGGGGAAGGTGCTCCTTTGTGTGTGTGTGGGACCTGAAAATCAGGGCCCTTGGCAAGACAACAAGCATTATTTCAACCTCGGAACAAACGGAATCAACTATATCAAAATGCTAAATAGTAATTAAAGACTATAGTATTATGATTATCCCTATGCAGGAATAGCAAATTGAAAAAGTTTGCAAATATCACTAAGTTTTTCCAACTTACTTAAAAGGTTGTTAGACTACTTAAGAAAATGATCAAGCTCAATTTAAAAAAAAAAGAGAGAGAGAGATGAAATAAAACCATTAAAAATGACCTTCCAGCTGGGTTTGTAGCTCAGTGGGAGAGCACATGCCTAACATGTGTGAGGCACTAGGTTCAATTCTCAGCACTGCATATAAATAAAGATCCATTAACAATAAAAAATACTTTTAAAAAAATGATCTTCCTTCCAAGACTCTGTTCACACCAACTACAGAGTTAATCAAGTTACTCATTAACTGTATATTTTATAAATATATTTTAATTTATTGTCATTTTCTGTTAGATACTGCACAAAACTGATTATTTCCAAAACAATAACAGATATCATGTTTTTACAACAATATTCATATTTGTTTACTGCTTTTTTTGTGGAAAGAATCACATCCAATCTGATTTCACAATGAACTTCCTTAGAAGTAGGACTGCCCCAAGTTCAGCCCAGAAAGCAAAGTAATATCACCAAAATGAATGAAGATCCTACATTCATTCATTTAACAAATCCTTTTCTCTGTTTATGTATGAGAACATGGATAAAAAAAAAATGAAAGACTGAACCAGACATAGTTCCCACCATCTAGAAGTCCACAATGCAGTTGGGAAACACACAAGTAAAGAAGTAACTGCTATAAAGTTTGATAAGTGCACAGACAGGCCCTATGCACAGGATGTTATAAAAACACATAAAAGAAATGCACCCCATGTACATGGGGTGAGGAGTGGTCAGGAAGATGTCCGTGATAATGGTACATCTAAACTAAGTCCTATAATAAGCAGGAGGTAAACAAGCAGAAGGGTTAGAAAGGGGTACAAGAATACAATTTGAGCAGATGAAGGGACATAAGTACACAGGTGCTAAGGACAGAGTATGGACTTTCTAAGCAGATGCAAGTGTTATGGAGGGAAAGAGCTTGTGAGCAGTAGCCCCCTTGTGAAGATGGATGTGAAAGGGCATACTGATTCCATTCTGTTCTTGCTACTCAGCCATTCTCTCAATAAGCTCTCCTCTCCCTGCACCCTCTCTTAAATGAAGGAATTTGATCATGGTCTGTCATTTGCAATCAAAAAACACTGGACAAACACAATGTCCTCAGTCAAGGCTCAGGTCTTGAACTGAAGGGACTCTGGGGAGTTGGAGAAAGGCATGAAAGAAGTGATCAGCCCAGAACTAGAACAAGAAGAGGTAGGTACAGTTGAGGAGGTTTTGCTTGGCTACTAAAAAAACCCCAAACTGTTATTTCCCATGCATAAATTAGTTAGGGTTAGGGTTAGGGAAGGAAGCAGGGTTGTAAAAAGGAAAAAAAAATCAAAACAAAAGAAGTCCTAGAGTTTATAACTGCCAGTCTGAATTTGAGGTACCTAAAATTTTCTAAATTCCATTCTTCACATGATGAATGGCTTCACATTCTTCAGTATTTTTATGAAGTCACTAAAACTATATAATTTGTTATTCTGTAATTATGAACATTCATATCTATACTAGATACTTTTTAGTAGGTTTTGGGAAACTGAGCATAGAATTCAATTAAACCCTTTTCTAAAAGAAAAAAGATTTATTTTAGTAGCACTGCTGCTAACTTTTTAGTAACAAAGGTATAAAGAAATGGAAAGAATAGATTTCCTTCTGAAAATCACTGATCGATTGGAGGCAAAAATTCAAGAATTAATTGATAAAAAATTTTTAAATGTACATTATTTGAGTTTTTAAAGGGACAAGAATACATATTTCATTATTTTGTTTTTCTTAAAGGTTATAGAGCAGAAGTAATTAATAATTAAAATGTACTGTTCTGTTAAATCTACTTACATAAAGTTGGTTGGAGCTAAAAGAAAGAATAGCATGCATGAAAAATAGAGACACCAACAGAGGATGAGAAAGCAATAATAGAAACATCTAAGAGTGGGAGGTGCCCGTTTAGTAACTTTTTAATGTTATAGTCTTCCTGGCTATTTTGGCTAAGACATAGCATTTGGCAATTCTGAACACAAATATCAAAACTCAGTACTTGTTACTGCAATCCATTTATCTATATATGCAAAATTTATGACAAGCTCTTCCACATATAGAGAATTTAATTCTCACCTCAACTCCATGAGGTCAATATTATTATTCACCTTATTTTGCAATTGGAGGCTGAACAAAGACCTTGATGCATGCCAGCCTACCCCCAAGTTCATGTTCATGGCACCACAACCAAAGAACAAAAGGAAAACAGTAGAAAGGAGGAAGCTCTAAACCAAGGTTGCTGGAAGATAAGCATTTTTAATGCTTTACTAATATTTACCTCTGACCTTTAAAGGTCAGTCCACTTGGATATTGTCATTTGTGGGTGAAACATCAGAATGGAAAGGCAGAAAGCCACCCTGAAGAGGGGGAGAATCCAGTTAAAGATCCCTCCATGAAATCAGTAGGACAGCAAACTACAGGATGGACTGTCCTTGCAGGATGGACTGTTCTAAACCAGGCACAGCTCGCCTCGGGGCATCAGGGTCACTAGCAATTGTCTTTGCAAGTATCTGAAAACCTTATAAAGTACCTAAAACCCAAACCAGAAAACTTTGAGAAAACAAATTCCTGAACTTTACAGACACAGCAATGTCTCCTTCACACCTCTTGGGGCTAAGTAGAATAAATCAAAAAATGAATAGGCTAATACTATTCTAGCTTTGTGAAGAATAAATTCACAAAACTTTCCTAATGTCCTATTTCAGTACAGAAATAAAAATGGATAAATCATAAGGCTTTTTATTTGACCCAGAGAGCCCTCCTAACAAAATATTATGTTCCTTATTTAAGAGCAGCCTCAGGGACTGCATCTCCTAGAGTCTAAAGATGCTAAACTCTACCTGGGCACAGTGTTCTCATTTAATCAGTGAGTAAATGTGAAAGAATTGAGTATGACTCTGAGAAGAAAGAAGCGAGGAGGAGTGGGTACATGGATCAAACATTAACTGACTTCTGTGGAATGGAGAAGAGAGCAGGTAGAAAGATAATACAACCAGGGCACTGTGGGAAGTGATCAATCATTCCAATAAGCAGAATTTGAATACAGGGGAATTAGAATAGAAAGAGGCTTACTCAGGAATCACATGGAATAGCCCTGTGAAGCCATGTCTCTGAGAAATCAGCCACCTTTCTGGTTTATGTGTATTTCATTCTTCTTTTTTATTTCAGCATCTTATGTTACCATAGTTGCAGAAAGTTGAAGAAACTGAGCTGAATGTGTAAATAATACAGTAATACTAGCAGCTGTCACACTAGCATTTACTGGGCACCTTTTAGGTGCCAAGCACTGTTTCTCAGACCATGGCCCAAAAAGTAAATTAATACATGGACTGTGATTGTCCTGATGCTAAACAAGGATGACCTACTAAACAAATGAAACAGCAGTTAATAGAATGACCTTTTAAAGGTATTCCAGGGCTGTGGATGTAGCTCAGTGATAGAATGCTTCCCTAGCATGCATGAGTTCCTAAATTCAATCCTAAGCACTGAAGAAGAAAGGAAACAAACAAACAAACAAACAAACAAACAAAAAACCCACTAACTAGATTCTATTTGCTTGCAGGGCTAATAACCTTCCTCAGGGTGAATTTGAAGGCAGTCATTTTAAAAAGTAAAGAAATAATTGTCACTCAAGTTTACCATGTGATTTTAAATCTGATTGTTGGTTGCCTTACTACACATTGTGGGAACAATCAATTCAGCCATAAGCCACCTTGGACCATATGCAATCCTCCTTCTTAGTTTAAGTCCTTTGTGAATTCTGACATAGCCATATTAAAGCTTAATCCATAACCCAAGCATGCTGGTTTTAATTCCACGTGATGAAAACTGAAGGTAATTACCTTCCAAGCCTCAAAACTGGAACATTAAGACAGACTAAGAAAAATGGATGATCCATTCCATGCAAAGTAACATTTCTGATTTAGTTACAGATAGTATGAACATAGTCCCTTGACTACATAAAGCACGTAGAGTAGAAACCTAGTTATAAACTGTTTCCACAGATCTTCAAGTGGATTATGGACATAATTTAATATATCCTTTGCATTTCTCCATGGGGGGAAAGAGTAAATATCCTCTTCTTTGATTTCACTGTTCTTTCAACCTTGCTAACCTCTCTTTTCCATTAGATTCCACTAAGTAACGTTTCAAATTCACTTCTGCCCTTTTTAATGTACCAGAGGGCAAAAGAATGAAAAATGGAAGTTTAATGATATAGTTTATACACACTAATTTTGAGCAAATTTCCAAACTGCCCAGCTTTCAAATTAAAGAATTCACCCTCTTCCTCAAAATATCCATGTGACAGACAAATCCTGAGGTGCCCCCAGTGATCCCTACCCTCCTAGTATTCATACCTTTACTTAACTCCTTCTCCTTGAGTATGGTTGGGACATAGGACTTGCTTCCAACAACC